TGCAGTCTCTGTTGTGACTGGATCCAGTGGGAGAGCATGGGAAGCAGAAGACAGAATAAAGGGGGGAGAGGCTGAAGGGAGGAAGCTAGGGCACTGCACACAGGGTCTGCATTGACATGGTAATTAAAAACAAACAAACAAACAAAGAACAAAACCAAAACAAGAAAGAAAACAGAACACAGACGGACTTACTGATGTGGTATTACTAACCCCTCAATAAGTGGATGATTTAGGAAACAAACCACATCTGCAGCTGAAGACCTTTGGTGCCTGTTATACTTGAATTGGCTTTTCTTTGCTTACTGTTACTAAAGCCAGAACTGGCAGATACTGTCTCACATCTCGGCTGTATGATTCTCCCTGACTGACCCTCTCTCCATCTTCACTTCTCTGAAGTGTGACATGGCGACACGGACCACAACACCTCTTTTCTGTTCTCCTTTTCCCTTCTTCACTGCAGCTGACCTGTTGGTGCTTTGCCTGTGGGTGCAGGAGAGGTGCTGTGCTGGCTCAGGCAGTAGCAGTGGGTGCCGCTGGGCTGCAGATGGTTGTGTGTCTGTCCTTCCCCAGCTCCATTCCTCTCTCCAGCAGGAGTTGGTGCAGCTGCTGTGCCCTGGTGCTCTGGGTCACTGCTGCAGTGGAGCAGCCAGGACAGAGGGGACAAACCGTCCACAAATGGCCCTAAATTACATGCTTTTTGGGAACGTTCTGTGTCACAAAGGGATGCTTTTGCAGAAACTGCTACCCTAGGGCTCCAGTCTTCTCTGGATGCTGTTGCAATATGTATGCTATTAATTGACTGCCATTTGCAGATGACAGAGGAGTCTTCTTAAGATGATGGTGTTTTCTGTTTTGGTGAGAAAATGTCACTGAAGGGGAGTTTGCTTGATGTTTCTCTCCCCTTTAGACTTAAGAAAGTTGTGTCACAGTAGTTTCTTATTTTTGTGAACTCTGAACTAATTTTAAAAATGTGTCAGAAAGCCATTAGTTCACTTTGAGACTGTTACATTCAGCCACTATTATATTATGCTGTTCAAAAATTCCCTCCATGGGCCTCTAATTTGGTTAATAAGACTTAAAGACACAATTATTTTGTAGTTAATGAGAGTTTTCCTTTTTTTGTGATGTGTTGTGTTTTGTTTTTTTTCAATTAGTTGGTTCCTTCCTGACACTAGCTGCTTTACTGTATTCTTTTATTAGGTCTATGGAAGACATCAGATGCTTAGGCACTGTCTCTGCTTCTCTGTGTTTGGCGTCTGGGATTCTCCTCTCCCAGATCTTCTCTGACAGATCTTTAAATCCTTTTCCCCTTCAAGTGAGTGAAAAATCTTTACACTTGCTGTTTGCAGCTTCATTTTCTCTGTGTCTGTTCCCCTTTCTCCCCCCCCCCCACACTTTTGCACCACCTACCTTCTGTACTGTCCTCGTCATTTCTCTGCATGCTTTGTCCAACAGAAGGTTTGATCTTTTTTATCAATAGGTTGCCATCTGCTACCTGTACTTCATTGGCTTTTATGTTTCTATTGTGTGAATATGCTCAGGAAGAGATGTGAGATATTTTAAACAGGAATTGCAGTAACAAGCAGAGTGCAGAACATTTAAAGCAACTTCCTGAATCTACCTCGGTTTGTGGAGGCACAGAGAGTCCAGTCAGGATTTTTTTTTTGTCCTAGGTGTCACAAAATATTGCACATTTAAACTCTTCTGATGGGCCTTGTGTCTGAAAGCATTTGGTTTATTATATGTACAGGATTCCTGTGTTGTACTGACTGTTCACATCTAAGACTCCAAGACTATGTTGATGCAGCTTGTTAAAGCTGCCCTCAACCTCTCATTTGGAGTAAGAGCTTGAAGTAAGGTTTCTGGTGCATGTGATGAGCTTGTCTCATTACTGCTGGCTGCTGTGTGGAGGAGGCAGAACAGAAGCAGAGCACGTTACATGGAAGATAGATTCAAAATTTTTACAGGCACAACCTTTCTTCAGTTGCCACTGAAAAGAGATAATGGTCTGGCTACTGTCTTCCAGGATGTGACCTGGGAGAGCTGTGGCTTGTAGTTACTTTTTCTCCATGCTATTAGCCGTGGGTTGGTGGAACAGTTCAGGTGCTGTTTCTGCTCCATTGCCTTCTTCACAGATGTGCTGTCAGGAAAATAGAGGGTGAGAGTTGCAGATTAGATACACTTGAGATCTTAACAGCCTCCTTACTCATCTGCTGACACGTGAGCAGCCAGTGAACTACACTTACTGCTCCTCCTGCATTTGGCATCACGATCTGGAGGAGTGGAGTTAGTGGGGTACTGTAGTTCTTTTTGTGGGCATGAAGGAGTGTAGGAATCTAGCTCAAAATGAAATCAGGTTTAGTCTGTAATGACTTACAGTAAAGAGGAGGAAGTGCTGTGGGGAGACCGAGGGAAAGATAACAATAGGAAAGTTGTGATGTTGTTTGGTTTTGGCTTTCATTCTTGGGGTCACTGCTGAAGAAGACTGGAAAAGTGACAAGTAAATTCAAAGCATTCTAAAAAAGTCCTGCATTGGTGGTAAGAAATAAATGTTGTCTTACGAGCTATGTATCAATGTGGTGGAGCTATGGTGTTGCCTTCCAGGGGGAGAGACAAGGAAGTCAGTCTTTCATACCTCAGTAAGAGAGGGTTAGTAGGTACCGTGACCACCATCTATCAATGCACACATGAAGAACGGAAAAATAATGACTGAGAAACTTGTTATTCCAGCAAACAGAGCTGGAAGTTGAAAATAGTTAAATTCAAGTTGAGGATAAGGTGACCATTTTTAGGTCTTAAAGGAATTATCAAGTAGAATAATTAATTAAACTGTTGTATAGTTCTCTGTTAGGGGATAATTGAAAACCAAGATGAGATGTTTCTTATGAAAGACAGATATGCTTCAGTTAAATCAGAGCTACTGGGCTTGAAGCAGGAATTAAACAGAAAAATAAATCTAGGGGCTTGGATTCTCCAGGCTGATAATAAATTGGTGAATCTGCAGAGGGGAGCCTCCCACCATTGCCTGGCAGTCATTAGGGAAATGTTACAGGATAAATCTCCTGTTTTCTGTATCCTTCTTTTAATTTTAAGCATATTTGCACAAAACTGAAACAATTTTTTTTTTTTGAGGTTAGTTGTCCTAAGTAAAGAGCTTAGTACTAACTGGCCATGTCAGCAGAAGTCCTAGGACTTCTGTAAACAGGAAGACTAAGGTAGAAAATGTGCATCTGCGCTGCCCATTTGAAGTGCTTGCTGTGTTGCTTCAGCATCCTGTTCCCTGGATCCTGCCATCACATGTCCTCTGTGGCTGCCCTCCTGTCCCGGAGGAAGAAGGACTCTCCTCAAGCAGAGAGAGCAGGTCAGCGTCTTGGGGGGACTCGAGTGTGGATGTAGCTGAACACCACTCAGGAAGGTTGTTTACCTGCAGGTGCTGTCCTGCGATGTCCATCCATACACAGCACAGAGAAGCTGGATCGTTGTATTGTCTTAAGGACATTATAGAAAGTATTAGCTCTTACAGGATCTTCAAGATACTGTGAAGAACGTTTCAGACACACAGTGTTTCAGGCACAGGGTTCTGGCCCCATACAGCAGTGATTCCTGCTCCTGAATGGGAGGAATAGGGGGGGAAATGGAGGAGGTTTTGCAGCTGCAACTGGTCAACCCTGGAGTAGATCGCCAAGATGAATATGGGCATTGAATGCACATATCTGGTTTTGAGAGACTGCAACAGAAAAATCTCTCTTCCTCTTTGTGATAGATTATCACAGTTTAAGCTGATTTCTCCTAAATACTTCAAGTATTTGAGTCATTGTAAGAAAGCAACTTAATTCCATCCCATTTTTTTCTAAATGGGGAAAATGCATCTCTTGTGCGTAGCAGAGGGACACTGATGATAATATATTGCTGATGTACTTATTCACTTACATCAGGGAAGGAAAATTTGTTTGCCAAAAAGGTGATGTATTTATAGATTTGCATGCTTCAACAAGTACCATTCTGGATGCAGTATCCTTCTAATATCTTGCAAATCTTGCCAAGACCCCTGCTATGGATTTGAAATTTATTCTAAGGTTTGACTATGGAACAAATCAAACCAATAATTTAGCTTAACTGAAAAAAAGGATGGATTTAAGCTCTTAAAAATGTATTTTGTAGATCACAGGGAAATTGTTGTATACTTAATCCACACACAGAAGCATACAGTGCTGTGTGTTCATGTTAATTGACATGCAAAGGGCAAACCCCACCTAATTCTCTAATCCTGAATTGACTGCAGAATACAGAATGCTATGGAATTTACAGTAGTTATGTACTATATGAAATGAGAATGGTTATCATTCTAATTCAATTAAATCTAAGATAAATGAGAATGTATTCATATGTGACATGATATTTATTGCATTTTGTAAAAAAATCTTGTATTTCCTTCTGCTTTTAATCTCTTTTCTGGAGCTCTCTTAATGTTCATGAGAGAGAGATAGATACCAGCAATTTATTTGTATTGGCATGTAATCAAAACACACCCCCCTCTTCCCTGCAGAGAACGGAATACACCAGCTCAGAACACAAAGCAGTGATGCATTAGTGTAGATGGGTCAGTGAGTTCAGAACTATTTTACAAAGTCAGTGAAATTTATAGTCTGTTCAGATACTCACTTCACCTGCTTCTCAACAGAGGTTTTTTTTGTAGAATCTTTTGTTTGCTTTTAAACTGAGGGAATATTTTGAGTTCTAAAGAAAAGTTTTTCCTTTTTCTGTCTGAAATGGAAATTCCAGAATGGACATACTTCATTAAAGTTGCTATAGTAAAAGTTGGCTCACGCTGCTTTTTAATGAAAGATTACTATCATGGTTAGTAAACTTATATGCTGTGATATCCCTGTGATTTCTCTGACTGCCATTCAGTTACCCAACATTGAATGAATCTAAATATCCTTGTCTTCTGATAGAAACTTTCTGTAATATTTCACACAGTTCTGATTGCCTTTCTGCAGCTTGGAGGTTGCCAGCCTGATGCGGGCAGATGCTGATCTGGAGGCATATCGAATGCAGATATGTAAAGAAGTGATAGATATGATGATGAAGAACATGGTCTTAAGTCACAGCCTCTTTCCTCATGTGGAAAAGAGGATGAGTTCAATTTTCAAAAAGCAGTTTCTTGCAATGGAGAAAGAGATTCAAGAGGAGTATGAAAGGAAGATGGTAGCTTTAACAGCTGAATGTAATCTGGAAACTAGGAAGGAAATGGAGGCTCAACACCAAAAAGCGAGAGCTGCAAATGAAGAGGCTGAAGAATTAATGAAGAAAATGAATGACAAGGTAAATCTGGTATAAAATCAAGATACTTTGCATGATAGGTGGTTTTATATAAATGGCTTCTCTTTTAGATTGGAATGGCAGAGTTGTCCTCTTAGAAGAGTAAAGAGAAAAGCTGTGCAATTTAAGTGTGTTCAAAAATTTAGATGTCGTAAGTATAGTAGTTGTTACTAAGAAACTGTACTTTAGTTCACCAGAAAATGAATTTGTCTCAAGAGAATCTGTGACATCTGAAAACAAAAGACTGTCATTGCCATGATTTTTTTTATAGTCACTTAAACCCTTGCAATGTGGGTATTTTGATTTACCGTATTTTACTGCAATGGTTCCTAAGAACTCCATCCAGACACTGTGTAAAGTATTTTTCGCATTCAGAGCAGAACAAACTCTCTGCATCTTAAACCTTACAATCTAGGTAGAAAGTCTCCAATATTTATATTCTAATTTTGAAGCAAATTAGAATGTAAGCTCAACCAAAGGCTGATTTCCTTCAAACTAAGTGAAGGCAAGCAGAACATTCTGTATTTTAGGCAAAGCAGGGAGTGGACTTCTCTTGGAAATAGCCCCTTGGTAATAGCGAGAGAAATAATTTAAGGCAGAGTATGATTCTTTTCAAGTTTAGGGTCTCCCTTTAAGTAAAAGATTAGTGATTTGTGTCGCTTTCATTCAAAGATCTCTGTCTGAATGGGTAAGTATCATTACATGGGGTTTCACAGGTAGTCACTAGCTGGAAATAGAGCCTGGGTTATCAGTCCAGCATACCATGTACATAATTATGCCCCAGTCTTCCATGTCTTTTTTTCAGGTATATTGAGTGTTTACAATAAAACTGATTCCCCTCAGCCTTTTTTTTTTTTTTTTTTTCAACTTAATATGTCTGGAGAGACACATAATATTTCACATCTGTAAGCTTAAAATGCTAAAATGCCCAAGTTAGTGTTTCATTCTTGTCTAATGTTATAACGCATATGAAGAGGATGACTGAATCCATGAAGAGGTGGGAATAAATAGTGCAGTTTGCAATTACCAGTGGGGCTGTGCTTCTGCAGCAAAAGTGGAGATACGTGGGCATTGAATGTGATGCTGCTGAGTTTCCATCTGACTGTTGCAGTTCTGTGACGGCGACAAAGTTATGTTGGGAGTATAATCCCTTAGACTGGTATATTCCTTACTGGTGTGTGCTCTCTTTGTAGATATTACTTAAGTTTATGGCAGGTGTACTGACATCCAAGAGAAGGCCGTGAAAAACAGCTGGGCAATAACCTCCTCCCCTTCTCAGCCCAAACACAGAGTGTATGTTTCCTGCCTGTTTGATTAATTATTTGCTATCTGCAGCATGTGTCTTGGGAAGGAAGGGTGAGGTGGGGGGGTGCTCCATGCAGAGGACATTTCTCCCTAGATAAATAATATGAGATTTAGAACAAGACCAACATAACTACTGTTAGGAAGCTCTGCTGGCGTAAGAAATATTCTTTGCTCTGTGGGACATGTGTGTTTTGATTCTATAATGAGTTTATGCCATCTGAAACGAAAACTATGAATATGTAAGTCTTACTGGAAGACTGTGAGGAAGTGCTTCTTCTAAAGAAGCTTTTAAATTAATTGCTATTTAATTCTGTTCTATTGTTGTAACTCTATGTTAGTCTATGTTCTTGGATTAATTTATAGAAACCAATAGGTAAAGTAGATCACCAATAATAAGAACTTTTAGAGGTTTGTAGAAGAATAGTTTTTTCCAGTTTATATTGTTTTTAAAATGTATGCTTATTGTTATTTCATTGCTCTGACGTATATGAGCCTATTCAATTTTAATAGTATTTCAGGATTGATGAAACCTAAGGAATCCATTTTCTATATAGTCTTTGTGTTGAATTTCATGCAGCTTTGTATAATTTCTCTTAATTAATGCTTGTAAATTCTAAAAAGTCTTCATTATGCCTTGGAAGTGTTATCTGGATTAGAGACTGACAGCTGCATAACCCCTGTCATGCCAAACAGATGAAAACCGTGGAAGGTGTGCACTGATTTCAAACCTGAAATGACAGTAATCAAAGTATGTGTAAAATATGTATGAGCTAGTAGCACTGCTACTTTGAAATATGCTGAATACTGAAAATCACTTCAGATTTATTTATTTCTCTCTTCCCTATAGCCTGCTGTGGAATACAGAAGTCTTCTGGATAGACTTCACAGGCTGCAGCAGGACCGCCTGAAGAGGTTCCTTCTGATAAAGCAGGAGGAATATTTTGCAAAAGCTTATAGACAGCTGGCTGTTACCCAGAGAAAGGAGCTCCATAATATCTTTTTTACACAGATAAGAAATGCTGCTTTCAAGGGAGAACTGAAGTTGGAAGCAGCTAAAACATTAGTGGAAGATTACTCTAAAATACAGGTAATAGAATGATAACTCTATTCCTAACCTAATGACAGAATACAAACCCACAGTAACGTTTGAGAAATGTTTCAGGAAATATCTGCGCTCAGAACTTGAAAATAAATTATCCGTATGTTGTCAAACTTATAACTAATTTTCATAGGAATAATTTTTAAAAGTATAATGCCATCATTATGCATATCTAGACATCAACACGACTGTATATTGATGCATACACACAGCCATTTTCTACAAGAGTGAGTTAGATGTATTTGCCACAACATTATGTACCTAGTGCTGACTTTTGTTTTCATGGGTCATTTCCAAGTGCCCAAGTGCTTAAAGCTTGTCTTTAGTGCTCAAGGAAAATAAGACTAATAGCTTATACCTGGAATCATAGAGAAGAAAAAAGTCTGAAAACATGTCCACACCATACAGTGGAGAATTGTGATGTATATAAATCCCCAGTTTTGCAGTGAATATTTTGATATATCTGCACATCTTGGTCCTCTGTTTAGCTCCTGAAAGCTCTGTTGGTGCAGGTCTAAGCCCTTCCTATGCTCTGAGAGTAGATTTGGGCTCACGCAGCAAACTTTTGGTTCCAGGTCTACCCTTGCTGGTATTAATGGAACCCTCAGCATGATACAGAAATGTCAGAGTGCCATTTTCAAAAGTAATTTCAGCCCATGTAAAGGGACTTAGGCAACTAAGAGAACAATTATGTCCCTAAATCTGTCTTATGGCATTTTCTAAAACAGATAAAACGCTGTCTAATGAAAGGCCTTTGGAGGTCTGCCTGTATGGTCATTTTCAAAAACCCCTAAGCATCAGTTGCTCTTCTGCACTTCTGAGGATGTGCTGAGCCCCTCAGTCCAAATACATAGATTATTTAAATTGTGATATGTCTGAAGTGTTATGGTTCTCTACTTTGAGAGGTTGAGTATCGGTAGTTTATGTGGTTGGGCATGCTGATGAAGAAAGATGCGTTCAGAACTTTAGTTTTGGTTTCAGTTACATTACTCTTGCACCAGAGTAGCCGGAGTTGTTTCTTCAAGGGTTTTTTTAATCTATTTGTTTTGTGTCAGAAGTTAATATTCTGGATTGCAAAAATTCTGGGAATTATTCTTCTGGCTGCTGCTTGAAGAAGAATGGGATTGTTGTGGCCTTTGAGGTTATAAAGCAACATCTGGAAAGCAGGTACCAAAACATGTAAGGCCCATAGCTAAAACTAGGTGCACTGCAGGACCTCAGTACAGAAAAGCCTCACGTGAGCCACCATCAGATGTAGGTGCAGCAAGCACTTGTGCAAAAGACACCTGGGCAGCCAGCAAAAGATAGGGGAAGTGAAAGAAGTTTTTTTAATGTTTTGGCTGCTCAGACATTGGTCACCTAAGTATCAGACCTCGTCTTGGGTGTCTGATGCTAGCAGAATGTCTTCTATAGACCATCCTGTGTCCGCCTCTGTTCTCTAGCAGCCCCACTTGTAGGTACCTAAACCCTTCCCATTCCCCACTGTTGGAAGCAGGGACTTTTGAGCCAGCCTGTGTACAGTGCTGTTGGCTTTCCCCATGCTGTACTTGAGATGTGTGGAAGACTTATCTTTGTCTTTCAACATCTATTAAATGTTACACTTTATTTAATCATACAATACATAGTAAAGGGGCTGAAAAAAAAGAAAATAAAGAAGGACTTGATACAGCTTATTGCTGTAACTGCACACATGCTGTCTTCGAGTCACAGTTCAAGATGACCTTTCAGCCTCTGGATAGCATTAAGCAGGATCAGTTCTACTAAAACCAGTAGGATTGTGTGTATATTTAATTGTGAGTACCTGATAAAATGACCTGTGAATCAGGGCTCTCGGGAGGTACTCAGGAGAGTACACACAACATTGAGGTATTCAGGCCAAAACCTCCCCACGCTGTTTATTTTGTTTTGTTGGAATAACAGTAATAATTTGAAATGATCATTAGAGTTAAGTTGATGTAAGCTTATTATATTTCACATGTAAGAGCTTTTTAACTTTGTCCTGTTAATAAACTTATCTGGTCTGATACCCACAAGTGTTAGCTGAAGTTAACATTGTGTCTAATTAAATATATTTGTTCATGTTTTTTCCTTTAGGGAGACATTGAAGAGCTAATGGATTTTTTGCAAGCTAGCAAGAAATATCATCTGAATAGAATATTTGCTTACAGAAAGTGTCTTATAAGTAAGATACAGCTAAGGGATTCTCAAGCTTCTGCTCTTATAGATGTGGCAGCCATCCAGATATCAAGTCTTATTAATAAGATGGAAAGGTAAATATCTCAGTTGTTTTTTTTTGGCAGCCATCTGACTACGTTAGCTCCATAACAGTAGAATAGTCTTCAGAGGTTGTTTTAACTGTGTTACCTATCAGGAAAAATTCATTAAAATGTTGTATTTTAAGTTAATTCTAAGAAAATATTTTGCAGCTAATGGCTTTGTTACCTACTGTCCTAGCAAACAAAGGTGAGACTGTTTTCTCTGTCCACTTTGTACAGGACGGAGATGAATTGCTGGTAATATGTATAGTATCTGTTTGTAATTCTGACGTCAGTGGTAACCAGTCTCATCCAAGAGTCTTGATGTCTTTATACATCCATTATTCATGTAAATAGTCCTTACTCATGTGAAAAGTCCATTGCAACGTGTACCAGACAAAACCATTTGTATGGGTTCTTTACATCTGTTTTAAGACCTCAAGCATTTCTTGTGAACTGTGTTTTTAAAGCGGGCAATTGACTATCTTTGATGTAAAAGATAGAATCAAAACATCTTATATTGGTCTTATTCTTCTGAATAATCTCTGTGTGTATGGATCTTGTTATAAGGAAAATAGTTTTCCAAACAGTGTCCTGCTGGACCTTTCAGGAAGTTGTTATTAGAAAGGGAATGCCTCCAGCAGCAATGCATCAGTATAAAGTTTTCTAATAATCTCTTAAAACCTTTTCTGCTTGTAGTGCTTTACTACGTAGAGTATTTATTGCTCTGAATTATTTACCTAGATTCTGGTCTGGACATCGGCAAGATGCCAGTTCGGCAGGTGAAATCCCGAAATAGCTGAACTGGAGTAACATGGGTGCTTCCTTGCAGGTTCTCTCTGTATAGTTTCTGTTGTGATTCAGCCTCCATATGCATCCAGGCTGATACAACTTTTCGGCTTCTTATCTACCTCGCCTATGTTTTAATGTCATTCCCATGCCTTCTCTAGGCTTCATAAAACAGTTTCCTTTGCTGGGGTCCAGCATCCCTTAGATAGTTTCTCCGTAGCATCAAATACAAACAACTACTTTTTACTTTTAGTGCCCTCACTTCACCTTTTCTCCTAATTTTCTTGTCTTTCATTCAGTACAGAGAAGTTGAGGTCTGCCTCTGATTGACCTACGATACTGCTGCTTTTGGCCACACACTTCATCTCCGTATCTTCCTTGGTGCTCGCTTCATTTGGAAGAATGTCCCTGTAAACATCCTTGTTACTGCAGTATTCTCCTTGTTCAGAGACATTAAACATGTGCCACATTTCTTCAGTGATTAGATGTGTGGTATGCTGAGACCAAGCAGTTTATCATACAGTCTATACTGTCTCATTATTTCCTCTACTTTTATTTTGCGTTTCAGTTCAGAGTCCTTTGGGATCAGGACATCTTTTAATTCTAATACTGTAGTTATTTTTATACTGTATTTATATGAAACCAGAAATGAAGGTGTCTTGATGTGATTGAGCCTTCTAGGAAATACCGTAGTACTGATTAATGTAAGTTAACTCCCATAGACTTCTGTTGTGGTAGGTGTTTTGCCCATTATTTTTGTTATCTGGGATTCTAAATAAGTAGATTACAAATAAATCAATAGATAAGCTTTACAGTACTGCATCACCTACAGTTTTAGCTGTATGCACATTGGATCTCTAAATAAATCAACAGCGTCAAAAGAAATAATGTAGACTTTTTTTTTTCTTTCCATCCTAAGACTAGGTAGGTATATATCATCTTCCAGTCATTCTGTGTTGCATGGATTTTCTTAAACTTTCATTTGCTGGATGGTTCCAGCACATCTGTCTTTCTTTATTGCAGCCCCTTTGCACTGCTCTGGACAGGGATTTTAATTGGATGCAGCAAGCCTATGTTTATTTCCTCACTCCAAGACAGGGTGAAGGTGTTAAAAATAATATCTTGGTTATTATCTTGCCTCATTTCCTCACTGTAATAAATCTACATTTTATTCACTAATTTTTTGCCTTGGGTTTGATCAAAAAGGGAGCCAAGACTTAGCATTATCAAACATGGGCAGGAAGCTTCATGCCGTTGTGTTTTTTTTAACATAACACTGAAATTTGACGTTGCTTTCAAGGCAAAAATGACTCTGCCAAAAGATCCAAGAATGATGTTTGGTGGATTCCTCCCAAGGTACTGAGAGGTATTTTAATTCTCTTTGCAGAGTGTTAAAGATGTATAGCAGATAGACACTGGAACAGTGGATAGACACTGTGATAAAGCAGAACTGAGTTTCTGTCCAGTGCATTTGTTATGTAGGGGATGATGTTTTGTAGCTTGCTTAGAAATAAGTCATTTGAGTTTATGGAGAGGGAAGTTTTTCTAACTGTTGCAGGCATGGCTGAGATCTTGCATACTCTTTGAAATTAAATAGTGTAGCAACTGGAGGTAGACCATAGTCTTAAACTTCCATTTGAAAGGGAGATGTACTTAAGACTGAGAATGTGCCCTGTTAGATTCTTGTATTCACTATTAGTTTGAGATCTTTATAATTTTTCTGATAATAGGAGATCTGAATATAAATCCATGGATATGATTGCTTTGTATCTTTAAAATATTTTAAAAATGTTTTTACTTGATTAGATTACATCCTTTAAAGAGAAAATTGTCTCTAATGAGGAGAAGGAGTTTTAAAAGACTAGAATTGCATTCCACGGGCATTAAATGAAAAATGTAAATATTATTAGTAACATAGAAGGTTTAAAATGTCTCATTTGAATATTGTTTATGTTACTATCTGATATTGCCTTCCCTTCCTTCCTTCTTCCTGTTCCTTCCTTCATACACCTTCACTCTTACCTTCACAAACTGCCTCAATTCTGCACTCATCTCTGAGATTATCTTTCTGTTATCCACTTGCTTGATCCCCTCAGGTATCACTGCTAAAGAAACAAAGATCATTCAGTGTGTCTACTTTCTTGAGCCTTATTATGGTACAAATTGCCTCAAATATCATTTTGCTTTTAAGAATTTGGTATAACAGACCTCAAACATTGTCATTACAGAGCAGGTTATCTATCTGAAAGTCATTTGGGATTGCTGCTGGACCGAGCTGAGGCTGAAATTAATTCTGTTAAACAGAAACTCGATCATGATTTAAAACAAGAAAAACAAAAGCTTCGCCAGAAACTCATTACGAAACGAAGACGGGACATGCTACAAAAGGTAATTATTTTCACTATATTTGTTTTCACAGGGCTTATAATGAATTAAAAATGGAATTAATTGAAAAATCATTCTTAGGAGTCAATATTGCCAGAAGCACAGATGAAAATAAGTGTCTGTTGGTTTTAGCTGTGTATTGCCATGTGCTGTGTTAATTATGCATTAATTAATAGCTGTTCTATTAGAAAAACCTACAAAAAAGTAATATAACTGGAGAAACTTGTGAAGCCCCTCTACTTAGTCTAACCTGTCCAAGGGGGTTATGACAAGACAGGCAAAAGCCAACGGAGGTTCTAGAGTCAGTGAGGGTGATGGCACAAGATCTGTGACGGTCATTGTCACAGATGGGTCTCATGGCTATATGTGACTTGAGTGACTACTACAGCACAGATAAAATTCAGCTGCAAACCAAAACTATTTAAAATATATGGCTGCTTGTGGTTTGCGGTAGGACTCATGTCACCTAACCTCAGCCATCTAAAAATCAAGGCTAACTCCCAAGAGTTCCAAGTCATCTTATAATGGAAGATGACTTGCAGGTGGTCTGAGGTAAGTGGAAGAGAGTTGTTATTCAAAGGTCCCTGTCTTTCCCTGCCTAAGGGATGCAGAAAAGACTATCTTGGATTAGGTGATATTTCTTTAGATGACCGAAGTTAGGTGAGATTGATTTTACCTTTTGCGGGACATGTGTTTGTGTTTTCTGCTCTGTAACAGATATCAGTGCAAGGAGACACGGCAGGTATAACGATGGAGACTTAATTGTTGTATTTATTCTCAGTATAGGTAGCTTTGGATTAGCTTTTCAGTGAAATTGCTGCATGCTGTAATGATGGGGAAAATAATAAAAAAAACTCAACATTTTTTTCCCTCTCTACTTTCATCTTTTTCTTCCTTGGTATTTGATCCAGATTCACTTCTGGAATGCTGTCAGGTCATTACTACTTGGCAAATGGGGCTTATGTGATACCACAAGATCATACATTTGTGGCAATAATCCAAATTATTTTATATCTAGCAATAATCAAAATTTTCACAGGCCTTTCTATCTAAGAATAATCTGAATTATCACAGGCCTGCTAGATACACAAAAAGGCATCCTGTTGAGGGCTATGTGAATCTCTGGACACTGAAAAGCAATTTTGAGAACACTGAAAAGCAAAAGTATGAAATTTTGCATTGCTATGAAATACATATTTAAAGAGCCAAAATTTGAGAGATGTTCCTTCTCTTAACCTTACTCTTCCTTTGATAAATGAATCATCAGAAAGAGCATCGGAAGGAGCAGCTGTCACCTGGAGAAGCCTTCAGAACTACTAAGGAGATCACTCATTACCTGAGCCACTGGAAAAATATTCTGAGTGATCACACCACTGAATTTGAAGAACTTACTGAAAAGCTTGACAGTGAGGCCAGTGAAGAGCTGAAAGAGCTTATATTTAGTCTAACGCAGAAAGCCAGTGAAGAGCTTAAACGTGTTCAGTATGGAGTGTTTGTGCAAGAACTGGTCAAGCTCAACGTGCCAAAGATGTTTCTGCTGGAAGCTGTGGAAGAGCATAAAAAAGAGATGGTTGTTAAACATGAACAGCTTGAAAGGGAAGAGTGTGACAAGAGCATGGCAGCTGAAGAGCTGCTTCAGCTCACCAGGCAGAAGCTGAGCCAAGAACTGGAAACGAGTCTTTTGGAACAAAAAAAATTAAGGAGCTGGGAACAATCAGTATTCATGCAAGTAACTCTATGCTTTTCCTAGTTATTCTTGCAAATAGAAATGAACTAGGAGTTTTCACACCTGTCTGGGTATAATTCCTAATGATCAGTTCTCTGTCAGGCACCTGGGAATTGATTTATCATGAGTGCTCAGCCCCTGCAGTGCTGGCAAGTGAGCCAGCACTCCTAGCACTGGAGGGGAAATTTGGGGAATGACAGTTTTGAAACCAAAAACTGAAGTGGTATTTTTATACTTCTCTTCACTGTGTGTCAGGTTTCAGTTGCGCGTCTTTTGTTATTCTCAGTCCCTTCTCAGAGATCCAGTACTTTGAAAATGTCATTTGATGTGTCAGGCCTAATTAGCCCCACATCTAATTTTGATGTATTCCTTCCAGTCACAAGTCTAGCCTCATTCACACAGTATTTCCATATATTTCATAAATGCACAGCACAGTAGCATACCTCTGCAGCTTGTGGGCTCCATCCATCAGCCTTGGCCAGTCCGGTCTGCTGACAAAGTGCCCCTGGTACCGAGCCCCCAGCCAGAGGCATCCCAGCACAGGGGATGTTGCAGAGAGGTTTGCTGATCCCAGGTGCACCTTATGGCCATTACTGCCACCTATGACCTGACTTTGGGGTGTGGGAAGGCAAGTGGTGGCCTTGACACTATTGGGAGACCTTGTGCAGGGAGAGACCGTGGCTGCAGGCTAGAGTTGATGTGTGTCGTGCCTCCAGACTGGACAGCAAGGTCTCCAAGAGATTTGCACCATTCATTAGCATGCCTTCTTTCAAGTACACTTATGACTAGTTGTTGGATTACCTGAATATTTACAGTACTACATTTCCTATGCAATGTCTGTTTAGTAACAGACATCATTGAGAGCTGCAGCTTTAGGGGAAGCAACTGGAACAGGCAAACCTGCATTAGGCTGTGTGCTCCTGGAGCAAGTGTACTGGGCATGAGAAATTGAAGCCGAGGGGTGGGGAAGAAAAGCATTAGTAAAGGTTTTTCCTTTATACCTGTTCTTTAAAGCAAAACAGATTTGCACGGGCCGTTACTTCCAAACAGCATCTTTGTAAGTTTGCCAGCTGCACAGTGTAAAACTGTAAAACAAGAATATAAAAAGAACTTTGACCATTATGTTTTCTTTGTTAAAGAAAAAAATCAATTTGTGTCTTGTTTTGGTTCTAATTTCAAGGGCTTTGTATTTTATTCACATTTTAAATACTTTTCCGTAAGCCATTTCAACGTATTTTGTAGCTTGTCTTATTATCTCTTATTTACATTGCTGAGAGCAGACCAGCACGAGTGGGAAAGTGGATTATATGACCCAGTAGGTCTTTCTTATTTCTTTCCTATTTCTAACTTACAATTCCTTCATAATTGTTTTCCAGCCTGCGGTGTCGCCTGTTGTATTTGTTAGATGCTATAACTTTATTTACAGCACCAGTAAGCCCTTTTTTTCCAGTAAAGTACTGGAAAATATATACAAAAATGCAGCATTTGCACAATTATTCTATCAAAAGCCCCCTAAAATCTGTCACTTTCTTTATGTTCAGTCCACTGTCTTTCAGTTTTGATATTTCAGTGACAGATGCCAGTTCTCATGTTTATGTTTTCATCAGGTATCTAGTTTTCACAAAGAATTATTTTGAATCATAGCTTGTAATTTTTGTTGCTTAAAGTCCTTTCTAAACATGGACATGACAAAACTGTGATTTACTGTATTTTCTTTTATATCCCTGTCTACGTACGTGTATATATGGATATATAGTATGGATTTTCTTCTAGAAGTCTAAGACAACATGAGAAATAGTTAAGTATATTGTAAATGCTTTCTTGGAGTAAGATTGCTTTAAAGTACGTACTTTTTTGAAGAGGAAACTTCATGCATTAAAAATGTTATTATGTTTTAATTTAGGATTTAGCTGCACTTTGCTGAATCAGTAAATGGAAATAAGGATTTCTAAAGTCAAATATTTTAGTGAAATGATGAGGTGATACAGGCCTGTGATATACTGAATAAAAGCATCAGTCCTAACGGAACATATGATGTATTTTTACATTACTACAAAACTACTTTTTAAAAAATATACTGTTCATGCTTTAAGTACAAATACAATTTTTGGGAAATAGAGAAAATTTCCAAACAAAAAATTCTGCTATTTTTTATTAAATACTCTTAAAGAAATATTTTAGTCACTAGATAAGATTAGTGTAGTCTAAGGTGTTAGTCACACCTCGAAGATGAATTTAGGCTTTAGCACGCATGAGCTTCAGCTTGACCTGAGGATCAGTTCCCCTCTATATTGAGAACTTTCCTTCTACAAAATGGGAACTTTGAATGATTCAAATTACTGCTAAAGCATATTCCGTGTTCAGACTGCTAAAAGCTTTTTTACAAAGAACAGCTGAAACCCTTGTGACTTGATGATGGGAGGAATGATGTATATGAGTTTATAATACAGAGATATTTTATAATTTTTTTTTTCCCCTCTCAGTAGCTGTGACTGCTAAGTGCTGGGAAACAGCATGAGGAGGCTTTATGGGAAGCTTTTGTCTCGATTTCAGACTTAAATTCAGGGTTTGTGTTGTCTGAAGAGGTGGAAGGATTCCATGCATAGGAAATGTGCTAAAAATTATTTATTTGTTTGTTAAATATTCCAAAATTGTTTCCCTTTGAAAATTAAGTTTTACAGTCCAGGAAGTTCTGTATGCAGAACTTAAAGCATCCTCAAGGATATTCTGGACATGCAAAGCAGCTCAGTCCTGTGTGTGGAATCATTAACTGATGTATGAATAAGACAAAAAAGGATGATCATTGTCATGTAAAGTATTTGTGTGCATGTCTTTTACATTTCATGTGAAATTGCCTTTATCACTGAACAGCAAATGGCTTTTGTTTTTTTAACAGGCAGATTCTAAGTTCACCCCTCTCACTATCAGAAGAGGAATTGCTTAGAATAAGGCAAGAGCTGCATTGCTGCTTCTCCCAGGTGGACAGCAGCTTGGCTTGGCCCAAGATAAGAGCAAGAACCTTGCTTCAGGCTTTTGAGGTGGAACAGAGAGACATGGAACTGCTGAAAATCAATCAGAATTTAGCAATGACCAATAAACAGGTGGGAGTGATGTGGGATCAGTGTGAGGGTGTGCACGGGGTTCATGGGTGTATCTGCAGATATGGGTCTATAGTTTCTCTATAGGTGTGACAGTGGTGCACACTTCTGTCTGCGTGGATCAGTGGACCTAAAAGATAATTGTTTGGGTAGCAGTTGGGATAAATAATTTCTTTGCATATGCCTGCATATTTCTGCTGCTTACATGTCCTCCAGCTTTCCCAAGAAGGGAGCATAGGTATAAAGAAGCAGATGGGTGGTGAAAAGGAGCTACATCTCTGAGGAGAGTCAACTGAAATGCCAGGGAGCAGTGTTGAGCCTGGCACTGAGTGTCAGGGACACGTTGAGTCCCTTACAGCCCAAACCTGGGTTCTCTGGCAGCCCCTACACAGTATTAAATTTGGCACTAAATCAAGGAAAGATTTAGAGAGGTTTTATAGGGGAGTGTCCTACACTATCTTGTCCATGTAGGAAAGGGGTAAGGGGTTTTAATTCCTTCAGTAAAATATAAAACCTGTGGAATCATACATTATTTTAAATTCTTAAATAGGAGGAAAAAAGTTTTTCTGTATGAATTGAATACAATGCCATCATAAAAAGGACTTTCCCTTGCTTTGTTTTTATTCAGCTCTGGTTTCTAAATGTGTAAACTAACTGGGGTTAATTGTACTAGGAATTAGCCTAGTTCAAAACCTTAATAATTTCTAAAGTATTAAAGAAGGGAAATGACTTTGCAAAGCCTTATAGTTGAACAGATGTTATAATTTTCCCGAGAGTACATTATACTTAGTTGATATTCTTGTAAAGAAATATAAAGGTCAAGAATAATTTGATTACATGGAACAGTGCCTCTTAATACTATCATGGTTCATTTGTGATTCATATACTGTGTCTTGAAAACAATGTAGTTCCTAAATTAATATTCTTTGTTCATTTTTAACCATACTGAGAAGACAACATATCAGTTAAAATCTTCTCTTATTATAATTCCTAAAGCTTGTTTAAAATAAAATTTATGTGCTAGCAGTTTTCATGGAAAGGGTGAATATATAATTCTGCTTGAAAGAAATTAGAAAGGAAATTTCTAACTTTGTCTGAATGCCGGAAAGGTATCTTCTGAATCAATAGGCAGCACCTTCATTTCAGAAATATTTTCTCAGGGAAAGTCGTCCTTGACAAGTGTTTCATTAATTGGTAGATCTGCCTATAATAGCAAGTAATAGTCTTAACGTTAGCATACTCATATACCTCTTATAATTAAAGCATTTTGTGCTCTTCTTCTTACAGCAGCATTCTAAAATGAAAAAAACAGGATCCAGGAATAGAAATAAGATAGATATTCTGAACAAATCTTTGCAGGACAAAATTTTCATTTATGAAGACTTGGTGAAAGATGAAAACTTGAATAAGGTAAGTGCAAACTTTTTCTGTACTGAGGTAAAACCTAGTTCTTAAGTAATTAAAGAATGACAGCTTTCTGTCAGTGTGAATAAGAATGAAATAAGAAGGGCATGAGGTGTAGTGGCATGATGCATCTCTCTACCCTTGCCTGCATTTGTCAAGATGTTGTATTTCAAGCTTAATAGTTTTGGCTTTGTTTTAATTTTTGCACCTTAGTTATAGAACTGATTTCATTTCTCAGACTTTTTTCTTCTGGTGGTTCTGGGGCTTGGAATATGTGTGATTGCAAGACTCCCCTGGATCCTGTGGTTTTCTTAGTAAGGCTTTCAAAACATAGAATCATAGAATAGTTTGGGTTGGAAGGGACCTTAAAGATCATCTAGTCAAAGAATCATAGAATGATTAGGGTTGGAGGGAACCATCAAGATCATCTAGTTCCAACCCCCCTGCCATAGGCAGGGGCACCTGCCACTAGATCAGGTTGTTCAAAGCCTCATCCAGCCTGGCCTTGAACACCTCCAGGGATGGGGCATCTACATGTTCTCTAGGAAGCCTGTTCCAGTGCATCACCACCCTCACGCAGAGTAAAGAATTTCTTCCTCTTTCAGCTCAAAGCCATTACCCCTTATGCTGTCACTACACTCCCTGATGAAGAGTGCCTCCCCATCTCTCCTCTAGGCCCCCTTCAGGTACTGGAAGGCTGCTGGAAGGTCTCCCCAGAGCCCTCTCTAGGTTAAACAGCCCCAACTCTCTCAGCCTGTCCTTGTCCGGGAGGTGCTTCAGCCCTCTGATCATCTTTGTGGCCCTCCTCTGGACTCACTCCAACAGGTCCATGTCTTTTGTGTGCTGAGGACTCCAGAGCTGGATGCAGTACTGCCAGTGGGGTCCCACAAGAGCAGAGGAGAGGGAGAGAATCACCTCCCTCGACCTGCTGGTCACGCTGCTTTTGATGCAGCCCGGGACATGGCTGGCTTTCGAGACTGTGAGTGTACATTGCTGGAAGATGCTTCACTGCATACTTCAATTGAGCAAGATTTAGTTCTTGGACCTTTCCTAACGCTACTGAAAATGCAGAAATGAGTTCCTGGATCCAAAGACTTCTTGGGAAGGGGCTGAGTTTATTTGTACCGAGCTTATTGAAAGGGAGCTTTGATTCTGGTGGGCATCTTTGAAAAGACTCGCAGCCCCAGTCTAAAGTTAATTCTTAAGGAACGAGTGGGGCCAATGCTAGTATGGGATTTTGGAGGCTTTTTCTTTCTCTGCTAGCAGATGTTCCATGAGGTCTTGTTCATGTTCCTTAACCTTTCCCTCCTTATCTTTCCCACTTGTGAAGCATGAGTCATGTTACTTTTGTACGTCAGAGGAATGTTATCATTATAATTGCGTTAGAGGTGTTGCAATGCCATAAGAACTGCACGGAACAAGCTGGTGTCATTTGTAGATAAACATAGTTTCACAAATTATTGCAATATCAATTTTAGTACCAATTTGTACAAGATGCTGGTTTTATACCTTTCCTGTGCTTTTTATGCTTGTATCCCGAGGAATGAAAAATACTGGGTCAACGTGTTTATTCAGAAATAATGTCACTTTTTTGTGAGGGCAACACATTGTTAATATTGGTTGCAGATGATAAAAGCAAATGTTTGTCTAGTCCGGCACCCAATCTTTGAAAGTGAGAGCAGGTGCTTGGGCAAGAATGCAACAAGTGGGCAAGTGTGTTCTGACACTCTAATTCTGATCCAAGAAAGCGCTAATCCTTTAATGGAGGCTTTTAAGCTTATGGCTTCACCACCTAATGCCCTGACCTCCAACAGTTAGATTATTTTTTTTTTTGTACCATTACTTGAAAGTACAATGGCCTAGTTCTTACATTACAAAAATTACTGAATATTTGTTTGATATGAATATTACCTTACATTTTTGTTAGAATCTTGTTTGAAAATTGGAGAGTTAGCTTCTTTAAGCCTCATTGTTTCAGTTTTATATGTACCATCTGGCATACCTGTTGTTGTTCTGGTTGTATGGCTGCACATTAGTTAGAAAAAGCCAAATGCTTCGGGCTTTTCCCAATAAGGAATCCAAACTATTATTAAGGAAAATCGTTAGTTCTCCCATTATTGTTAGGACACAGGAGTATTGCAGTAAACCTTATGCTGATCACAAAAGCAGCGTTTCTTTCTTTTGGCTGTTCCAGTCTGTTACCTTGTTCCTCACTTAGACTTCTAAATTTTGCATTAATGCGAACTCTTACCGTCTAGCTCAAAATTAACCATCTGAAGCTGCACAGCCAGTTCTGGGATGGAGGGAAAGGACAATGGAGCAGTACATCTCTACTGTATTTCTGCCTTCGCTGCTGCTGTTCTTCTGCAGACTTAACACTGTGGTGTGGGTTCTGTCTCACTACAGGATGGCGGTAAAATGGTTTCCAGCTCATGCTTATGAAAGCAGAAGCAGATTGTGTTTTCTAATACTGTGAAACAGGCTTGACAGAGAGCAGCATCTCATAGACAGGAGGTAGTGAGCTAGGAGGCCATGGGAAGAAGTTTGAAGCCTAGTCTTGGAACACCTGAGAATATCCTTAACCTTGGTGTGAAAATCTTCAAAAGCAGGCTATATCTACTTCTTCTGTATTTTGTAGCTGGTTTGAGCTATTTTGTGCATGACAAGGTGGATGTTCCTTTCTGAAATAGCAGTTAGCTATCTCGGCGGAAACACAGTGATAAAAATACTGACGTTATTTAGTCTACTTTTGCTGCTGTGTTTAAAAAACACCAGTAATAACACTTTACATGAGAAGTACCTTTGGGATTGCAGGTAATCAAGTACATTTTCAGATTATTCCTTTTATTTGTAATATTTAGGACTGAGATTACACTACTCAGCAATTAGTCTGAACTAAATGTGGAATTTAGAAGTTCACGCTTTCAGGCAATGGAGTAATCATAGTGCATTTACAGCACTGGCATTTTTCTGTGTAGTTTGGATGTTTCAGGTGGAATCAGCAGCAAATGTTCACACCTACAGGAGCTGATTCATCATAACCAAAGTAGTTAAGCACTAATAATATTATGTCAAATAGTAGAATGTCAACCAGTATTTTACAGTCTTCTGTTTGGTATGATAAAAGGCTTCAAGAATGTCCAGGGTGTTAGTTTGCAACTAGTTTACACTTTAGTTTGTAGTCAATATTTGATCCAGCTTCTACTGAAGACACCATCTATGTTGCACTGAAGTCAGGTCTACTTGCAAGCTTTGATTTTCACCAATATATTTCTGTTTGCAGAGCTGTGATTTCAGAGCTAACAAGAGACAGAAGCTCTGGTGGCTAGGGGTAGATAGTAGTACCAGTTGAGTAATACAACATTTTGTTTGGTTAAGAGCAATTGATTTACTGTAAAATGTTAAATAGATGCTGAATGATAAACCTGAATGTCATTCCCATGTATTTGGATGTGATTAAGGTATGGCTTCATAATTAGTAATATGCAAATAGTATCTAGTTTTGCAGTTTGGACCATAAATATTAAGATTTGTGGAATATAATGAACATATATATAAACCTCCTGTTATTTGAAGTGGTTGACAAAAGTATAAGAACAGCTCTGTTTTGAACGAGTGCTGGAAGGTGGCTCAGCTCTTTTTCTGTAAACTCCCCATTCTAGCCATCTCTTTTGCTTTTCACTGGAGATCTCCGCCTCCTGTGTTAAAAAAAAATAACAGCTTCAATTTTTAGCATTTTGGTTACAGTATTTCCAGTATGACCTTTGAGTTGGACTCTCCTCCTAACTCAAATATCCCATATGTTTATTTGTAACCCATAGGCTTAATGATTATTTATTGTCACACACCTACATTATTCAAGATCGATTTGTTAGATTAACAGTAATGTTGAGAGACAATGTCTGTCTCCTGAGATGGAGGTTTGTTAAAGGTATCGCAAAAATGAATCTTGTCTCTGCTTTGTGTCTGTAGGATGATTTCTTACTCTTGTGTTGTAATTGGCTTAATTCACATTAGTAGGAAATATTGCCTGAAGGTAACCTTCTGTCACTTGCATTCAAGGACATTCCAGATGATGTCACGGAGACTTTGGAGAATATCACATGAGTGTGATCATGAGCATATGTGGTTCCAAATTGCATTTTAAATTTAGCTCTATCTACTGGATAATAGAATTTGTATGATACACACTCACTCTTAACAGGTCCCTTATCCATAAAATTTCCAGAGAAAATTAAGGAGCATCGTGTTATGTATTTATCATCTTAGAAATCTAAAAACTTGGTGGAAGTCTCCTTAAATGCTCCTTTAAAGCTGAATGAGTCAGCTCATTTAGTCCTCTAAATTAATACAGTCAATAATGTATAATTCTGATTAGCATGAATGGAAAGCTATTAAGGTTTTAATGTCTTGAGTACATACCATCTCTATTTGTGCAAAGATATTCTGAGGGGCAAGATCAGGTCTTGTGCGAATGGGCAGTCATACAGTGTCTAAAGGCTACAGTTGACCTTTACAGTGTGGTAGTTCACGCTTGGAGGGCAAATACTGTTTTTCTTTATTATTCTTATTTTATCACCTGGTAAAACTGTAGAGAGATTAAGACTGCATGTATAAAGGTATACCACAGGATGCCTACCATGCTAAGATACTAACCATGTAGGTATCTCAGTTAAATAGAAACATAGAATGACCCGGGTTGGAAGGGAC